TATATATATATATATACACACACACACACATTACATTTATACAATTATATGTAAAATTTACAATAAAAGACATATTTTTAATGCAAAAATACAATTAAATATAAATTACATTTATGTACATTCTATCTATAGAATTATAATAAAAACTAAATTAAATTTATATATATTACACATACAAAATTATATACAATTTATAATAAAATACGCTTAACGTTATGCAAAAAATACAATAAATTAGGGATGTGCGATATATATCTATGATAATATCGCAATTCTTGTTTAAATAATATGCGATTTGACATGATCAAGTATACTGCAAAAACCAAACAAAAACACACCCAGAGTGCACGCATAAACTAAGGGGGCAAATATGCCCCCGTATGACTTTTATATGTCTTTTATATTTATCATCTGATATAGTTAATATCACACGAAGAGTGGCGTTTTTCTCCAAATATCAGTATGATTGCAAATGTGATATTGATTTTATAAAACAGTCCAATAAACAAGTTAATATTAACTGGATTACATTTTAAACTCAAGTTCCTTTTTTTTTTGCTCTATTTCGTCAACGAAAATAGTTTCTCACAAAGCCACAGCAGAACTGTTTTGCATCTCGGAACGACTCACAATGATGTTTCGTTACTGAATCAATGAGCCGTTTGAACGAATCGGTTGAATGAATGACTCAATGACTCACTCAGGCAGTGATTTGCTGCCACCTACTGGCGATTTTAGGTTTATATTTAAAGTATATTGTCCCTTTTTTTCCCCAAAAAATCATTTCAAATATCTGTATTCAACATTTTGTTTCTAAAACATCAAAACATTATTAATGCATTTGTAACTGCAGGTTAAATGCATTCATGTCCTGCATTAAACAGTCTGTGTGAATGCATCTAAATGCCACTTCAGATGCAGATTCTGTGCCACCTCTGCATTGCAGACACAAATTTTGTTGATACTGATTTGATTGGTAACAGTGCTATAGTGTCTTACTATTTGAATTTATTGATTAAATGTAAGAATTTGACACAAAAGATGATGCATACATTTAATTAGGTTAGAAAAATTGGCCTTGTAAAGGTAAAAATGCCAAAATGTAAAAATCAGTTTAAACGTACTCCTGCAAACTAATCACCGCATAGAATATCAAAAGCTTTGGGAGTCAGCTGTCTACAGCAGTCCTAAACTTGCCAAAATACCAGCGCAATAACGCTCAGCAAAATATCGTCTAATTATCGTTATAAAAAAATTCCAGAAAATAGCGAGATATAATTTTTTGTCATTATCTCACACCCCTACAATAAATTATATATATTTTGCATAAAATTGTATACTGTATATACAAGGTTTAGAAATGCTTCTCATTGCAAGTTATTACAAGGGAAGATGTTTGGCATACCGAATGGTTCAATATTATATTGAGAATTGTCTCATCCCTATATATTTATACACACACACACACAAACACACACACACAGACACACACACACACA